GTATTTTTGGCTATTGCTACAAATATACCCCAGCGACTTAACACTGCTTTTGTGCTCCAGGGTCACAAATATTCAAGCATAAAACATTTGAATGGATGTTTTTTTTTTTTTTAGGCAAATTAACTTCCTGCTTGACTGGAAGTGATTCTGTGGTTTGCAAACTGACCAGAAACTGCAGATCTTGAATCAGCAGGTTTGTGCATCTCTACTTACTCATGGTTTCTCCGTCTGTTTAGATAAACAGTAAAAAGAAGGAATCGGCATGGGAGTTCACCAAGAGTCTGTACGACGCCTGGTCCGGGTGGCTGGTGGTCACGCTAACAGGACTAGCATCAGGTACACATACACACACACACACACACACTCTCTTACCGTTTCTCTCTAGCAGCTGTTCTTTCACTCACTTTCACACATTGAGCCACCCACTATAGTTTCTCTCTCTCTCTCGCTCTCTCTCTCTCTCTCTCTCTCTCTCACTCACACACACACACACACACACGCACTGCATGAATGGAAACTGTTGTGAGGTCATCAGATACTAGCGTAAAGGACACTGTAACTCAGAATATTAATTATTGAAAATACTCATTGAATACAGATGAGCTGAGTGAAGCTAGTCTGCAGTATAGAGAATTGCAGAAGAGTTATGTTAATTTGGTTTAAAATATTTCTTTCTAAATTCAGTCCCCAGATGATCTTTCAAATGACTCATAACCAGTCTGTTAACCGACTGCAGCTGTCAAACTAGTTCAGATAGAGCAGTGGTTCTCAATGCAGGTCCTGAGGACGCACTGCTCTGCACAGTTTATCTGTTTATCACTCAGTTCAGTTCATGGAGCAGGACTCAACGCTGAGGGTTTTTTCTACTGGACCGATCAGGCCAGTGGTTCAATTTTCTTACTTGCCCTGCCAACATTTTCACTGGCCCTGCCACAAAAAATAAAATAGTTGTTGCTATCATTGCTTTTGATCCTGTTCTCTTGTATTCTAATAAATAAGCTTATATGACACCAACATTTTAGATACCAGTTAAATTTTACAGTTCTCAATTCCAATTTCGTTATCACAGCACTAACAAATATAAAGTTCAAACATTATTAAAGACTGGTGAAGTCAGTAAATACGAACAAATTACAAGCAATAGCCCAATAAATAAACAGAATAAAAATACAAATTAAACAATGCTTTAGGTTTTTAGGTGTTCAAGTACAGAAATTGAATAATCAAATGTACAACAACGTTGCATTTTCTTCACTGTATAAATTAGATGTAGATTAATACTTGTTAAAGCTACAAAAGTTATTCAGCTAATAAGCAGTGAGTGATTATTTTTTCTTTCTTTTTAGTTTTTTTTGGATTAACATTAAGGACACTGACAGCAGTTGTCATTGCATCCGTTTTAACATAAATTACCTTTAAAAACTTAAGTCTTTTTATTGTTTTTGAAAGATGTCTCTTCTGCTCACCAAGGCTGCATTTATTTGATCAAAAATACAGTAAAAACGGTAATAATGTGAAATATTATTATAGTTTAAAATAACTGTTTTCTTTTGTAATATATGTTAAAATTTTATTTATTCCTGTTATCAAAGCTGAATTTTCAGCATCATTACTCCAGTCTTCAGTGTCACATGATCTTCAGAAATCATTCTAATATGCTGATTTGCTGCTCAAAGAAACATTTCTGATTATTATCAATGTTTAAAACAGTTGTGCTGCTTCATATTTTTGTGGAGACCTTGATACATTTTTGGTAATTTTGTCGTTAATGTCACTTTTGGTCAGTTGAATGCATCCGTGTTGAATAAAAGTATTTATTTGTAGCATTAAAATTAAATTGATTTTTAATGTAGCATTAAAATTAAAAGCCTACAAATTAGATGCAGGTGTTTCATCAAACTGTCTTTTAGTTTTAGAAAATAATAGGTTGTAAAATGCACCTGCAGGAAATAAAATGTTCCTCCACAAACCTCAATATCGTGGTCACTTAACCCAAAAACACAGACAGACAGACAGACACACACACACTCACACACA